TAACTATTGGTGTGTATCCATTTACAAAAAATTCCCTTCACACCCATTTACAAAATATTCCCTTCACATCCATATACAAAAAAATAGCTAATTTCAATATGTTCTCAGCTGGGATTTGGGTTCTTCCATATCTCGATAGTATGTCCAGGCTCTTTGCATCTTTCACAATGACTTCAATATGTTCTCAGCTGGGATTTGGGCTCCTTCCACAATGACTTCAATATCTTCTCCCACATATCTCATATTATCTTCTCCATTATTTGTAAACTTTTCCCATATGTGAATAAAGCAAAATAGATGTTTTTCAGATGTACCCGCCATCAGTTATTTAAACCTGCATCAAGAATCACGCAACTGTCATTAACAAGGCAAGAAGCTATATTGACAACTGTCGCGGCACGCGTTGACAACTATCGCGGCCTGATTGACAACACAATATCCCATTTCGTACTAAGGGTTTCCACCCACAGTAACCTTCATCTTTTTCTTCCTTTGCCACTGAACTAGCATCAGAACAGAGCAAAACCACCCACAAGCAACCCAAAAACAGAGCACCCATGATCATCCTACACACCCAACTTAAATCACCAACACACACCAACCAAAAACACAACTTTTCTATTGATTAACTTGTGAATCCCATTCCCAAAACCACCCACAAGCAACCCAAAAACACAAAAATGATTTTTTGATTTCCCATTTCCAAACAAAAGCACAATCTGTCAAGAAAGGTAGGAGAGAAGAAGAAAGAAAGTTTCACACCTGAAAATTTGTGGAGAAGCTCTTTGGAGTTCACTAATGGTAATAGAGAGGATATTTCATCATCAATGGCTCCTTCCCTCTTTCCTAATGTCTTCTTTCTCAAGCATATTGCGCTGGAACTCTCACCCAAATGAAATTCTGCGTCTTCGTTTCTGATGGCTTAGGGCAGGGCAAGAGAGTAATTTGTAGATTCTGAAAATTGCATCTAAGTCCCTTTGGGACTTCAGAAAAATTATGACATTTCAGGGGACCTTTTTGTTGTATTTTGGCTTCTGTGGGACCTTAATGTCATTCTCCCTATGAAAAATGTTAGAGAATTTGCGAAAAGACAAGTATCAAGAAGTGCCATATAGGGCCTAGAAGCAAGATAATGTCGTATCAAGCTCCTGGAATTTTGAAACTTCACTGTCGGTCCTCATTTGGAATTAAATTGTATGGTTAAATTACGAAAATACCTTTCAAGCAACTCCTTTTTTCAAAAGAAAAAAAGCAGATGCCATTGTTGTTGGGCCATCGGGCCACCGCCGCCAAGGCGCCAATGATAGGATTGACCATGCTAAGGCAGCCGAGGGATATTCCATCGAACCAAGAAATTAATTAAGTTATAATATATAAAATAATACTCCCTCCATCTCTTATAATAAACAATATAAAACTCTATTACGTAGAATAAAAAGTTAGTTAAAGATAATAAATAGATAAAAATTAAAATTTTTTCTTTAAAATACCCTTATTTACTTAGTGGGGAGAGAGAGGATAAAAAAGATAATAAGTAAATTATTATAATAAAGAGAATTATGAAAGAGAGAATGTGTGATGGAGATAAATGGTAGTTTGAAAAATAAAACAATAAATATATTGAATATTAAAATAAGTAATTAATGGAGACAAAACAGAAAATTTGCTATAAAAATTTAAGACACCTTATAAATATTGTTTATGTTTAGGATCAAGAGGAATATGGTAGTTATTGCTTATAAAAAGACAAAAGAGTAATATTTTTTATCTTAAATATTTATATTTTCTTAATGATAATTAAATATAACAAGATATTGTTAGTCCAATAGTCATGCTACATTTCGCCCTAAACCACCAACCATTCAATTCAAACTCAGCCATCAACCATTGACTTAAAACTTAACAGGCTTAGATTTAATATTTTATAAATTTAGTAACAAAATTTTAAATTATTAAAAAATAAATAATTCACATTATTTTATTTTAACAAGGAATGTTTAAATCGCAATGAAACATATTTGAAGGATAAACTTATCTCTGGACCACTAATATTTTTTGTGAGTGGTAGTCTCATCCAAGAAGGGGGTGAATTAGGTAAGTTATAAAAATCTTGCGTATTAAAACAATAAGCTAAACAAAAACAGAAAGCGTAAGTTAGAGTGATTTCACCGTAGAGAGTAGACACAGAATTTATATTGGTTCGGTTTCAACCACTTGACCTACATCCAGTCCTTAGAACACCTCTGAGTATTTCACTAAGTTCCAAGATTAATCGGGCTCTTGGTGCTGCAGTACAGCAATTGATTCGCTCAATCACTCCCCCTTACTATCTGTAAGGTTACAATCTCACCTAAGAGTTCACACTCTTGAGTTTCTCTCAGAAAGTAATTGAAGATGATAGATAGAGCTCTCTCACAGAGTAAATAAATGAGAAACACTGAAGCTCAGTATAAACAAGAACAGAGTATTGAATGCAACAGTAAATTATTAGCAGAAGGTAGCTCGCATATTCAATTTTGCATTCAATGCTTCTTCGTGCCTTTTATAGTTGTAGAGGTTTAATAACCGTTAGATAGAAGAGCTTCTAGTCGTTGGAAGTTCGGTTGCATGTCTTCTTAGTTGTAACGGTTTTCACCATTAAGGGTTCTGATGGTTCTGACATGGTAGGTTACTGGCTTCTAAATAACTGTTGGATAACCGTTGAACTTTCTTCATAATCTGTAACAATATGTTAGTCAAATAAGTTTTTCTTGTAGAGTAAGGCTCAGGAACATAACTGAACAGATGATAATAATGAATATTGATTCATTGAAAAATGGAATCAATCAGTTACTAAAAGTATTGAACAAGAACTAGACATCCTTCATCTAAGTAATGATCGATGGTTGATTGATCAAATTATTGATGAATCAAATAGAAAGAATTTGAAACAAGCAAGTTCATTTATCGATCAGGTTATGGATTAATAATTTATCGATCAAGTAATCAATAAATGAAAATAGTGGCTTCAGAAAAGCATGCAGAGAAAAGGCTCAAGGTCACTTTTGATTTTGAATCCCTTAAAATAGAAAATTAGGATAAACAAGAAGGATGAGAAAAGCTCAAAGGGAAATAATCAACATATTTTGAGAATCACAGTAACTTGTTGATGTTTAACTGGAAAGAATCAATGATTGATCAAGTGATTGAAAACTTCTTGATCGATCAAGCTATCGATAAAGTAAAGTGAGATAGAAATAGATTTTCAAGGAACAATAATCAAGTACTTTATTGATAAATGAATGATAGAAGACTTGATTGATAAAAGAGATTTAACAAAGAGTTTTTCAAAAGGGCACAAAACCAATGATGATCGATTAAGTGATTGATTAACGTTTGATTGAGTAAGTGATCGATAAAATATAACAAAGAGACTTAGTTTTGAAATGCCAGGAAAGAGTTTGATCGACCACGTTATGTGAAAACAAGACATTTAGATATATGGGTGATCGATCATTTCATCGATAATTAGATTATCGATTAGGTGATCGAAAAAAAAACATAACTTAAAAAGTAGAGCGAAATAGTGATGATCGATCATTTGATCGATAAGTCACTAATCGATCAATTGATCGATAAATCAACCAGATAACAATTTTGAACAAAGACATATCGAGTGGGTTATTAAGCAATGTTCGATCATGTTATTTGAAAGTCTCTGATCGATAAAGTGATTGATAAATGATGAGAAACATAATATAACCAAAGTGAAAGAGCTTTAACATTTATCTGTTTTCTTATCAATGACCTATTTATTGATCAATTTATCGATAAATACTTACTAAAATTGTGTCCCATTATCTAATTAAGTGTTCGATCATTAGATTATCGATAAATTGATCGATAATTTTCTGCAGACTTCTATACAAAACAGTGTTAACAATGATCGATTAATTGATCGATCAACACATTATCTATCAAGTTATCGATTAATATTTCTGCTAAGTTAATTGTTTACACAGAAAATTTATTTGACAAATGATCGATAAACCCTTGATCGATCAATTTATCAAAACACAGATTATCCAATTTGTTATCATCAAAACCTTAAATTTAACATTTTTCAGTAATATTGCTAAAATTTTAAATTTTAAATTTTAAAAAAAGAATTTGCATCTTAAAAGATATCTGAGTAAAAATTTTAGGATAAATTTACATCTTAATGCTACTTTTAATTAGGGACCTAGAGCTTGCAAACATTTTAAATTATTTGAGCCCTTCATGCTGTTAAGTATCTTGTTGGGCCCTTAAATGGGATTCTTTCAAAGAAAAGTAACGAAGGTTAATGTTATGATTGGATGGAGAGAAAATGAGGGAAAAAGGAAAATGGGAAGAAAAGTAGTTTTTCTCTTGTTTGAATGAGTGGAAAAAAGTGGAAGGAAAAAAAAGTTGGGAAGAAAATGAGATGAGTCTATTTTCCTCCTAATTTGTCTCCTCATATATGGAGAGAAATTGAGAAGAAAATATATTTTTTTTCTTTATCCTTACATATGTTTTTTCAGCAAAATAATATTTATTTATTTATTATTTTTTCACTTTATTTATTATTATCAAGTCTTTCTTCTGTGTTTCTTTGATTAAAAAATAAAACAAATAAAATTACAAAAATCCTTCTAAAATAAAATGAAAAAAAAAGTAGAGTTGTTGTTTTAGGTTTTTTAGTAATCATTACACAAAATGTTTTTTTTTTTTTTACAAAATTATTTGACATTAAAATATAATAACATGATAATATATCTTTATCAAATAATTTGATTTTAAATTATATGATTATGTTAATGTAAATATGGTTTTTATTATGATATTTAATTTGTATCAGAAAGGGTATTTTAATTATTTATATATTTACTTTTTTTTTATCCATCTAAATATAAAAAGTGATGATATTTTTTTTCTAATTTTTTTCCTCCCTTTTCTCTCTTCTCAACTTTTCTCCCCGTTGAAACAAAAGGTAAGAAATGGGATTCGATTTCGACCAGAAAAGGCAGGGGAAGCGGTGAAGTGGCGATATTGGGATGCACAAATTTCGAAAATTCAATTGCAGCGTCAACGGCGCCGTTCATGTCAGATCAGAGCTTCAAGCTCGACCAGAAAATCAACAGAAGAAGGACGGCGATAAGGAGATAGCTTAGACGGACGAAACTGCAATTGAGGAAGAAGAGCAAGAAATTGGAGGAGGAAAGTGCGAGAACAAGAGGCGTGGAGAGGAGGATCATAACTGTGAAGCTTTGAGCAAATTCAGAGTTGAAGGATCATCTTCACGCTTTGTTAGATCATCAGGTAACCGCTTCGTGATATCCCTTCTACATTCTTTTTCACTCCTAATATTCACCGATGAAACTGAAACACAATCCGAAGTGCTCAAAATAACCAATTGGGAATGAAAACTTACTCTACCTCGAATGCTCTGCTGGTCCCCATTTTTTTTTTTGGCAGGAGATTTGGATATTCATTTCTAGTGATTTTGCTGGGTTATTGTAAAGGGATATGCCATCAAATGAAAATGGGCACAGCAATAAGTCTCCGGTTTATTTTAGCTGCTGGAATTTGGATCTTCCCTGTTGAAGTTGCTTGCTAACTTTTTGATCTTTCTGTTTGAATTATATTTGTTTCAGTTATGGTTTTAGTTATTAACAAGCAATTAGATTTGGTTTAGTTGTTCTCAATTAGTTGCTTTTTTAGTCAACTGAAGAAAGACCATGGATTCGTGTTTATGATTTCTCTCCACCTTTCTTGCAGCAAAATAAAAGTCACCCAAAAAGATTTTTATTCATAGTTAAATGAATCTCATTTTCTGACGTCTTTTACTCAGTAAGGAAGAATTAAAGCAAGAAGAGTTAAGAATTGATAAGGGATCGTTTGACCTCACGCCCAAACACATCCTTGATCTACCCAGAGAATTCCTTGAGTTCTTGTGCGATCATTTATCGTTTAGAGATCAAATTCAGTTTGCTAGATGCTGCAAGTCATTGTACTCATTGGCATTTAGAAGGCCTAACCCTAAAGCACGTGGGAAGCCATGGCTTATTGGACTTGCTGAAAATCCTACTCTCTGTGGAAGAATATACAACGAGGTAACATACCATCAGATACAAGCAAAATCATTCAAGCATTCTGATCCACATATTATTGGATCCTTCAAGGGATGGATATATGTGCAATATAAATTATACAATTTAACTCAGCTTATAAATATCTTCTCCAATATTCATTATGATCTCCCACCTTTGTCTACTGTAAAGAATTTTATACCTTCTGAGATAAAGCACATTAGAGCTTTTGCAGTATCATTTTGTAAATCTATGAGACCAACTATGATTGCAACTGTTTCTGGTCTTGGAAACTTAGCCTTTTTCAAGATTGGAGGCAGGGAATGGAAAGGTCACAAAAGAGAAGAACAGTATGTTAACCTGACATTTTACAATGTGAAAATGTATGTTATGAGAAAGGAATTTAAGCTGGTTGACATATTTGAAATTGACGAGAATTTGGAGCTCTCTCTTGTGGGTGTTATAGATTCTTCAGAAGTTATTGATGCTTCATTACCATTGCCTCCACCCTTCCTGGCCTACCTAGTGGTGGATTCTAAAGATAATAATCTTTTTGTTGTGTTACAACATCGTAAGATGTTTGGCTCTGTTTTGATGGCCATTGAGTTCGAGATCTTTAAGACAAAAGATGGAGATCAATTAGTGAAAGTGGATGCGTTGGATGGTCAAATTGTGTTAATGAGTGACACATGTTCTGAGATTATTGATGTTAAAGATTGCTTTCCTTCTGCATTTTTCCGGGGAAGCCAAATATGTTTCACTACTGGATTTGATCATGATTTTGGCATTTATTCCTTCAATGATGAAACCATCAAATGGTTATTTCCACTCAAGGAAATGTATTTTCTACATTGGATGTTTCCTAGACTTGCATCTTATTGTGAATCACAACCTTCATCATCATCATCATAACTATTTTCTGCTACTATTATTCTTCTCTGTAAATTGATATACTGCAACAACAAAAAATTCCTGGATTTTTGGATGCTCAAGACCATGTTCTTTTAGATTTATTTCACTTGCTAAATTTTTTTTTCCAATGTTTCTTTTATTATTAGTAGCAGTACACTACTAGAAAATAGCAAGTTAGCAGCGAAACATTTCTAGCGGTTCAAACAAAACCGCTACATATTGCTAGCTGTTTTACGACAAACTGTTAGAAATTAGCATTGTTTTGACCATAAAGACTGTGGGGCCCGTAATTTTCTAGCGGTTATATGCCAACAGCTAGAAAATCACAGCTAGAACTCTTTCGGGTTTTGGCGCGAACTTGGTGTAAAATTTTAGTGTTTATTTTCTAACGGTTTGGGTGACTAAACTTAGAGAATGCAAAGAGTCGTCTAATTTTCTAGCAGTTCACCTCATACACTTTTTAGTGGTTTTGTCGAAAACCACTAGAAAATATTTAATTTTCTCGAAGTGGTTTTAATAACCGTTAGCATTTCTAGCGGTTGTCATCAAAACCGCTAGAAATTTCTAGCGGTTAACTCAGAAACCGCTAGAAAATTTGTATATTTCCCAAGGTGTCTTAAATGCTGTGGCCAACCGCTAGACATTTCTAGCGGTTTTAGTGACAACCACTAGAAATTTCTAGCGGTTTGGGTAAAACCGCTAGAAATTCACTGCCTATATATACCCGCCCACGGTCATTTTCACTGTTTTATTCGTTCGTGAAGCGAAGCTCTGACGAATTCTCTCTACGAAACATATTCGAGTTCGGATTCAGTTGCAGATCCCTATTTTCAGGGAAAAATAGTAATTTATTTATAAATAATTTCTATTCTTATTTTTTATTTAATTTATTATATTTTTGTTTATAAATAATTTCTCTTTTTATTTTATTTATAAATAATTACTATTTGTTGTTATTAGGATGAGTCGTCGGCCCCCGCCAGTTGATCCTGAGAGGGTAGGACCTAGTGAGGGTCATCATGATGGTGGTCATGATGCTGGTGAGCTATTTCCTAGCATTCATGACTACGATCTCAACGAGGAGGATCTCCTCAGCTTTATGGAGCAGAACGATATCGAGCGGACTGAGGAGGCTCATTTTACTGGGAATGAACAACCCCATGCTGATGCTAATGCTGTTGAGGAGGAGGAGGAGGAGCAGGTTCAGGGGAATGAGAATCCCCATGCTGAGCAGCGTCCTGCTCCCAGACGTCAAGCTGGTTTTGATGTGGAATTTGAGGGTAAGTATTTATTTAACTTTTTTAAATTTGACAACTATTTAATTTATATAGAAATTGTTTTAATTTATTGATATATAATTTATTTCTTAATTAAATTTTACAGACTCTGAGGGGAACAGGTCTTATAGGAAGCTGACAGTCAAAGAGCTGTCTATGATGACGAGCGGACGAGTGGTTGTGCCGCTCAATGAATTGGGCCAACCGACGAAGAAAGGTGGCCAGTTGTATAACAAGTATGTGCACCTCCTTGGTCAGCAGTGGATGTTGTTCCCCATCTATGTGCAGGACTGGAAGAAGATCATCTTAAAGAAGAAGCAGCAAGGTTGGGAAATGATGAAGGTAATATAAAATTATTATTTATAAATTTTTAATTTAAATAAATGATTATATATTTTGTTTTCAAATTATTTAATTGTTTGATTGTAATTTTTTATTTATTTAATTTATTTGTTATTTATAATATTTTTAAAGCAGTTAAATGAATATATATTTTTTATTTAAATTACTTTATTGTTTGAAAATAATTTGTTATTGATTTCATTAATTTATTACTTATAATAATTTTAAATTAGTGCAGTAAAAATATATTTTCATTTAAATTACTTAATTGTTTGATTATAATTTGTTATTGTATAATTTATATTTTATTTACAATATTTTTAAATTATTTAAATAAATACATATTTTTATTAAAATTGCTTAATTGTTTGTTTATAATTTGTTATTTATTTAATTTATTGTTTTAATCACAGAGTAAATTTATATTGGGAGAGGAGTTGAGGGCCGACACAATCAAGAGGCTTGGGGTGGCATGGAAGAACAGGAGGGCCGACCTGTGGAGGGAGAGGAAAGGTGACGGGACGAGGCCCTTACAGGAGATATTGGCAGATGTACCTGGTGGAGTCCCAAAGCAAGACTGGTTTAGTTACGTCTATTTTAGGATGTCGGCTGACCAGAGGGTATGATAATATTGTATTAATTATAATTTCTTTATTTTGTCCAATTTGACTAATTTAATTTATTTTTTTACATTTTGTTTCAGGCTCTTTCTGCGAGAAATGCTGGAAGCGGGGAAAAGACGCAGCAGGAGCGGGGATACACGCCCACTTATGGTGAGATGTGGCCGATTTTGTATAGACCTCGAGACGGGCGTGCGTCGGATGAGGTTGAGAAGATAGCGGTAAGTAATGAATTAAATATTAATATAATATCACAGTATAAATATCATTTCATACTAATTAGCCTCTTTATATTAATTTTGATAGACACGGATGACTCATGTCGATACCAAGCTGCATGAGTCTCAAGGGTCTGCCTTGGATCCCACCGCCTCACTTTTAGTGGGTTGTGGCCGGACGCAGCACCCTAATCGAGTTAGCGGGCTCGGACTTAGACCTACACCGACTAGGTTGTCCTGCTCAGGTGGTGCTGGCCCTTCATATACTGCGGAGAGCTCTCTGAGCACGGGAGCGAAGCGGCCGAGTTCCTCATCCTCAGAGGAGTTGCGAGAGGAGCTTAGACAAGAGTTGGAGGCCAGCATGAAGGCCAGGGTGGAGGCTAGGATCAGGGAGCGTGATCGTCAGTTGCAGGAGCGTGATGCTCAGTTCCAGTTGCAGGTTGACCAGTTTAAGGCAGCTGTTACGGCTATGCGTGATGTGCTGATCAGTATGGTTCCAAACATCTCGATTCCTAAGATCCCCGACATACACCTACCACCAGTCCCGCCCTTGCCCCCTATCAGCCAGTCCAGTCCCAGCACGTTGAGCAGCCTGCCCACCCCCAGCAGGAGGATCCAGCAGAGGACGATGACGATGACGCTGCTTCTGCCCCTACCCCTGATTTCCCCTATTTTCATTGTATAGGATTTTATTTGAATTTTGATTTTATGATTTTATATTCTATTTAGATATTTATTTAAATTTTATGTTATTCGTTTACTTTAATTATTTATTTAAATTTTATGTTTATTTGTTTACTTTAATTATTTATTTCTATAATTTTTTTCTATTAAGTATTAATTAACATTAAAATATTTATTAATTTATTACTATATAAACATTAAAATTTATTAAACATGTTAAACATGTTAATTAATTAAAATATTTCTACAATTTATTTCTATAATTTTAATATTTCTATAATTATTTATTAATTTATTAATTATTTATTTGTATAATTAAAATATTTTTATAATTTATTAATTACTATATAAAACATGTTAAACATATATCTTTTAATATTAAAATTTATTCTTGAAATATGTATTTTAACATTTAACAAATCATAAAATTTATTAATTTAATAAATATTTATAAATATTAATAATTTGTTAATAATTTTGTTTATATCAAGTATTGATTAATATATTATACTAAAAATGTTAATAATTTATTGCGGTGCATTTAAAATACTTTTGAAATATTTAATTTTTAAAAATATTATATTATTTCTAAGAACCGCTAGAAAATTCAAGCCAAATTCAAATTTTCCTCCTCGAGTTTCTAGCGGTTTATAACTGCTAGAAAATCAAGAAAATTTATAGCGGTTCTAAATCGCTAGAAATTGTATAATCGTTGTCACATTCAAATTTTGTCATGGCATGAATTTTCTAGCGGTTATAAACCGCTACAAAAATTTCTATTCATTGAAACCGCTAGAAATTTCTAACGGTTAATAACCACTACAAAAAATTGACCGTTACATAACCGTTGGCAGCCTCCTTTATAAGCTAAAACACTCCAATTGAAATTCATTTTAACTTTTCTTTGAGCTTCCTGTGTCATATGTTCATGAAATTTGAGCAATATTAGTGATGGATTGGTTGTGGATCAACTTACACCGGTCGTCTCCGCAATACCTAATTGGTCTAAGCTATTTCTTAGATTTTGCTTTTGCCAATGCCGCCGTAAATGGTAAGATTTAGTGTTCATGTCCTAAATGTAATTTCAAGAAGTGACATCCTAGAGATATTGTTAGAGAACATTTGATCTTTAAGCCCTTCCCGCGAGAGTACGTATTTTGGCAACTACATGGGGAACGACCAGATATGGTTACTGAGTCAGTTCTAGTAGTTTCACAGATGAGAGTTTGAGTGGATGAAGCCAAGGCCGTGAACGATGCTGTGCATGATGCTTTTGGCATTCACGAAAGCCCGAATCCCAATGAAGATGAAGTAGAGGGGCCTCAACCGGAGTTTCTTAGAAACGAAACTGCTTGAAAATTTTTTGACTTCATGAGCGAAGCTGACAAGCCTCTTTATTCTGGGTGTACAAAATATTCGAAGTTGTCATTCTTGGTGAGGTTATATCATATCAAATGCTTGTGTAGTATGACTGACAAGGTGATGTCCATGTTGTTGGAATTACTGGGAGATGCTTTCCCCCAAACTGAATTTCCTCCATCTTTTTATGAAGCAAAGAAGATTATTAACAAGCTTGGCTTGAACTATAAGAAGATAGATGCATGCCCAAACGACTGTATGTTATACTGGGGAGATGATGCAAACAAGGAGATTTGTATGAGATGCAAGACGTCATGCTATAAGTCGGTACGGAAAAGGAAAAAGCAAAAGAAAAAACCAGCCAAAATTCTCAGGTACAATTTATTACAATGTGCTACTTGTTCCGTCTCTAAATATTTGATATTTAAAATTATGAATACAATTGATTATGATGTGTTACTTGTTCAGTTTTTAAATATTCGGTATTTGAAATTTTTAATACAGTATTTTCTTAGATACTTTCCTTTGAAACCACGGTTGTAAAGAATGTATATGTCATCAAAAATGGCTCAGCACATGAGGTGGCATGCGACTGAGGAAAATCCAGATGGCAGGTTAAGGCACCCATGAGATTTGAAGGCGTGGAAAGCATTTGATGCAAAATTTCTAGACTTTGCCAGTGATCCTAGAAATGTACGTATTGCATTGGCAACCGATGGTTTCAATCCCTTCAGAAACATAAACACAAGTTACAGTATTTGGCCGGTGGTGTTAATTCCATACAATCTACCACCTTGGATGTGCATGAAGTAGAGCTCCTTTTTGCTTTCCATGATCATTCCTGACAAGAAAGCACCAGGAAATAATATAGACGTATACCTGCAACCGTTGATACACGAATTGATTGACCTGTGGACGAATAGTGTTGAGGCATATGACTCATATGACAAGTGACTATTCAATCTCCATGCAGCCTTGATGTGGACAATAAGTGATTTTCCCGGTTTGGGAACTTTGTCCGGCTGGAACATGGATACTGGGTTGGCCTATCCTGAGTACAATTTTGATTCCGTGCCATGTCTCCTTCCACACAGTCGCAAGTGGTGCTTCATAGGACATCGACGGTTCCTCGATTCCAAGCAAAGACTTAGATTGCAACGGATTCGCTTTGATGGGAAATAGGAGAAGAGCGATCCTCCTGTTACTTTGTCTGGTGTGGATATTTTGCGGCAGTTAGAAGATGTTAATGTCAAGTTTGGTAAGAGTGTGGATCCCGAACGATTGGAACGACGATCTTGTGGGACATCTGATACGCAACCTATGCAATGGCGAAAGAGAAGCATATTTTTCACTCTTCCTTATTGGGAATCTAATTTGCTACGACATAGTTTGGATGTTATGCACATTGAAAAAAAATGTGTGCGATAATGTGCTATATACATTACTCAACGAAACTGGAAAGTCCAAAGACCATCTCGCAGCTAGAAAAGATTTACGGGCCTAGGGAATTTGTGAAGAGGCTTGGCCTGATAAAAACGACAAATTTTAACCAGTTAAATTCACCTTGACGAAGCAGAACAAGGATATCTTCCTCTCGACGCTGAAGAACATAAAAGTACCAGATGGATATTCTAGCAACATCTCAAGGTGTATCGATCTGCAAGCTTGAAAGGTTACTGGGTTAAAAAGTCATGACTCCCATATTCTTATGCAACAGTTACTTCCATTGGCCTTGAAAAACCCTTCCGATGTATCAGTGGTTTTGGTGGAATTGTGTTCATTTTTTAAGAAGTTGTGTGCGAAGGTCTTGATAGCAGAAGAGCTTGATCAGCTGCAAAATAAAATTATTCTTATACTTTGTCACTTGGAGATGATATTTCCTCCATCATTCTTCACTGTTATGGTTCACTTGACTGTCCACCTTGTTCGAGAAGCAAAGGTTGCTGGCCCAATTCACTATCGATGGATGTACCCTATAGAGAGGTACTAGATTATCTTTTATCCCCGCCTTATTAAATTTCACATTATTGTTTCATTTGCTCGCAATTATTAATGCAATATTAACTTGCAGGTACTTGGGAAAATTAAAATCATATGTTAGGAATAAGGCGTGGCTTGAGGGGTCAATCGCAGAAGGTTATTCCGGAGATGAGATCCTAACTTTCTGTTCAAGGTACTTTGACGACATGGAGACATCTTTTATCTGCCCGTGTCGCGTAGATGATTCTCCTCCTAGTCCTTCCACGTCAACTTTATTTCCTCCTATCGGGAAACCAGTTGGAGGATATGAATTCTTCAGACTCACTCCTACAGAGAAACTCCAGGCACACAGACATGTTTTGATAAATTGCAGCCAAGTTGAACCCTTCATGCAGTAAGTATATCATATAAGCTCACTAGCTTTTACACTTTATATTTGTTTCTCACTGACTCTTCTAACAAATTACACTTTACTATAGTGAGTTTAGAAGTTACCTCAGGCGTCAGTTATGGGGGCGTGCGCGTTCTGCTGACATTGATAAAAGAGTCCACAAAGAGTTTCCCAGTTGGTTTACACGTCGAATATGTAATGACAACAGCCCATACACAGATGAATTCAAAGCTCTTTTCCTCGGTCTACTAGACCATGCACGAAGGTTTACCGCGTATAATGTCAACGGCTTCAAGTTCTGTATGGTTGGACGTGATCAGGGATTGCTTACACAAAACTCTGGAGTTTGCGGGATATTCGGGACGAGATGTTATGCTAGCAGCAGTGATGGCAATATGCGCTTTGGAGGCGTCACTTACTATGGAAAGTTAATTGACATTATTGAGTTGAGTTACCAGCTTTTTACCGTGACATTGTTCAAGTACTCCTGGGCAAATACGACAACTTTACAGGGACTTGCTATTGACCACTTGGGCATCATCTCAATTAATTTCTCTAGACTTATTCATACAGGGCATCTGAAGATGATGAGCCATATGTCCTTGCTTTTGAGGCACACCAAGTTTACTATGTCGAGAACGAGAAACATAAAGACTGGAATATAGTCGTTCACCTCAAGCCACAGGATCTTTATGATATGAGTGATGGTGACATTATTTACGATAGCGAACCCTTCCAACTCCCGAATTTTGAAGATTTCTTTCCTCAAGGAGACGCCAATTATTAGGTATACGTCTTTTCTTAAATTATTTAAATAATTAATTGCTAATTACCAATTTCTTCTAAATACATTATAATTCTAACATAATTTTTTTAAATATATCCTTTCAGGCCGGATGATGATGAAGAATAGCAGCATCAAAAATTTTTGTTATTAAAATTTTTTTTCCTTCCATAAATACATATGTAAAAATTAAAATTGGTTTACTTTTTTAAAAAATAAAAAATTATAATTTGTAGCGGTTATATAACCGCTACAAATTTATTATTAAAAATTTTTTCCTTCCATAAATACATATGTATAAATTAAAATTGGTTTACTTTTTTAAAAAATAAAAAATTATAATTTGTAGCGGTTAGGTAATCGCTACAAATTTCAAACTACTACAAATACTAGCAGTTACTTATACGCTAGAAAAAGGACAAATAGCTATAAAATGCACCAAAATGTTACAAAAAAACCGCTACAAATGTGTCGCTGATATCTATAA